TTATTGCTCTCTGCGCCGCGCCGTTCCAGGCCAAATTCCGTGTTCGGTTTCTCTCTTGTATTCAAAGGAACAATATTCTTTCTGACATAAGCCCTGAGATCCATAAGAATAAGAATGCATGCATGGCAGGGATCATGTTACAATGAATGTAGTTCTTTCTCATTCAAATCCGTCCAATTTTTTTTTTTGGGGGGGAAATTTGAAGAGTGAAATTGTCTCGGGGGGGGGGGGGGAAGAGAAATTTATTTAAAGAGTGAAATTTTTCGCTTAAAGTCGACCCACAGACAACAGAAGACTCAGATCTTAGGATACTGTGCGTATTTTTTGAAAAAAAAAAAAAATCATTTGAGGTTGGCAACCTTGAATCAGCCCTACGTTAACAGTGTAAAAGCAACGTGAATCACCCTAACTTGAACTTCAAATATCTCTGATATTCGCAAGAGGTCTCAAGATCTTTTTGGTAGAATTGAAGTTGGATATCTGAGGATTCAGAAAATGTCTACCACCCGGAGTATTTTGCGTTTCAAGAGAGAAATCTTCTTTTGAAGTTGACGTCTTTTTCTGGTGTATTTCTAATGGATCAGTAATTCTTGACCCGTTTCCCACCCACTTTATATCCAAATTCGAAGTCGTTTTGAGCAAACAATTTGAAAATGAACCATCATTGTGAGTCAGAGATATCTTTAATAAGACAAACTCCAAAAAAAATATTCAGATGTCGAGTTGTGAATTTTTTATTTTTGTCCACAGAGGGCCGCACTGTGGGGCGTCCCAAATCTGGACACGCCCGGGGCCGGGGGTTTTGAACCTGACCAACGCAAGGGTCGGGCGGTCAGTCGGTTAGTGTGTCATTTGGATTATCAATTAGCACTAAATTGTGTCACCTTACTTATTGTCTTCTCTTTCCGATATGTACGATCATTAATACATTATGAGGAGGGCAACAGGGAGAACCCGGACAAAAGGGTATTTTCCCAGATGTTCTCTGCCATGCTAAGGAAAAACATCGTATGAGCCTTCAGGCGTTGCCAAGTTTCCTTTAAAAAACTGAATTTACTGGGAAAATTTTGAATATTTTTCCCCAAATATTTTTGACAATTTAGTATGCAATTTAATCTGAAACACCTGAAAATCTCAAAGAAAAATGTGCATGAATTTCGTCAAAAATACATGTTGTATCAAGGGAAAGTTGGCAACTCTCGAATGTTCATCCTTCGTTCTTCTTAGCACGGCAGTTTTGCAAAGATGGAAGATGAACAGGATATCGATACAACTTTTCGACAACGAACAAACTAACTTCTTTTCATTAATTATCGTCTCCTCGTCTTACATTCTGCATCGGAAATTTTCTCTGTTCCCAAATCACGGCTCCAGTTGGAAATAAATTGTTAGGAGTACGATGATTATTTAGAGAAACTTTTGTAGGGGACAGTCAAAAGAAAATATTGTAAAAAAGAGATACCATTTCGCGTACTCACTTGCGCTATTTAACAGTTTTAAAAATGGTTGAATAGCGCAAGTGAGTACGCTAAATTATATGTCTTTTTTACGAGATTATTTCTCCCTGATGAATACTTGAATCCCAATTTTTCCGCGATGCTCTGGTCTCAGTGACTACATTCTGAAGTTTCTTGGACTGAAAAAAAGAGTTAAAATTCAAAACCCGGTAAGCGCCATCAAGTGATTGTACATGCAGTGTTTCTTCCTGCGAAATAACCTAGATGCCCCTACCTCATGAACATTTTATTAGAAAATTTTTAGAAATTTTTGGTTTCATAATCATACCAAAAACGTTCTTCTCTCAGCTAGGCCACTAGGTTCTCATTGAATAAGAGAAACGGTTGCAAAATTCACAGCACCTGATGGCTGATAATTAACAATGATGCACTAAATGATAGACAAAAGAGACAAAGGGAAAATGTATTGATCTGATTAGCTCTCATATGTAGACTGAGGAGAATAATGATGGAATAACTATGAGGTCTCCGGTGGGTTGCCGTTGGTTAATCAATTGATTACTTCCTTTGTCCATTTGCAACCACCCGCTTCCACCGATAGGATAGCTCCATTTTCCCCTCGACCTCTTTGTCTATAGCTTTGTCTATCAATCTCAATAATCAGCCCGCTGGTTGCGCTTACCAAGTTTTGAATTTCCACTTTTCGTGATACCATGGCGACGCAAACCTATCGTCAATGGAAGTGTGATTTCTCTCAAGCAACTATTCTAACTCTCCGGAGATCAAATTGCATACCCAACGAATTGAAGGAACTTTGAATTAGTGGATCTGAAACCCACCAATCTTATTGAAAATGCTGTGTCGTGCCGTCACGCTAATACTGGAAGCTTGAGTCCTCCCGAGCAACTGTTTTAACTCTCCGGAAATTGATAGACAAGGATATAGAAAAAACAAAAGAAAAACGGAGCGATCCAGGGTGTCTACTTTTTTTTTTCATTTTGGGAAATCCTGATTTTTCCTTATTTTTAACTGCTAAATCCTGATTTCATAATTTTTGCAAATCCTGATCAAATCCTGATTTTTTGCGGAGAAAAATTACAATTTCTGCATAAAAGTATGCGAAAGAAGCCCGGTCGGACGGCGGACTTTTCTCAAATCCTGGTTTTACGACCGATTTTTCCTTAAATCCTGTTGAAATCGGGATTAAATCCAGATTGACCTCAAATCCTGACAGAATCGGGAAAATCCTGATGCTAGACACTCTGAATTCTAGTTCAGACGAGTGGTTGTAATAAACAAAGGNGGGGGGGGGGGGGATGATGGCTAACTCGTAGGTTGCAGTTCGTTTGTCTAAAACTTGCCTCCTTTGTCCATGGCAACCAATGGCTTTTACCATTAGGATCACTCCGATTTCTATTTATTTTCTTTGTATATGACTTTGTCTATCATTTTCAATGATCAACCCGCCGATGGCGCTTGCTAAGTTTCGAATTTCCACTTTCCATATGTTTCAATGGCGGCGGAAATGCGTCCGAGTAAAAATGACAGCGCAGCTATGCAAAGCAAAGTGAGCCGACTCATTTGCCAACAATAAAAAGTCATGATTACGATGATGGTGACTAGCTAAACTATGTAAACATCATAGCTCGAGTATGGACAGAATTAGATAACTTGGGACATTGTGGGCGGTCAAGGCGGGAAAAAAAGTTGGGGGTTGAGTCATTACGAAGGTCGGAGTTTGATACACAAATTATATAACTTGCACTGACACCTGCGCCTCATTATCAGATCATCACAAAAGCTCGCGTCATTTTAATTCTTGTCAACTCAGGAGAGGAAATTCCATCAGGCTGTCTTGCTAGGATTCTGCGACAGAACTCTTTTCTCTGCCGTGCTAAGAAAAAACACCGTATGAGCCTTCAGACGTTGCCAAGTTTCCTTCGATAAAAACTGAATTTACTAGGGAAAATTTGAGTATTATTTTCCAAAATTTTCATACAATTTCAGGCGCAATTATCCAATTAAGTCTAAAATATTTGAAAATTTCAAGGAAAAATATGCATGAATGTTGTAAAAAATACATGCTTTATCGAACGAAATTTGGCAACTCTCGAATGTTCATACGGCGTTCTTTCTTAGCACGGCAGTTCTGTCGTTCGGATTACATTTTAGCAATTAGAAACTACTATTTTCGGCTCATTTTAGAAACGAAGTACGTGCCGTTCAGTTTTCGTACGCATATAGGTTCTTTCATGGTTGAGTCAGCAAGGATAGTTCCTAATTGCGAGATGCAGTCCATTTGACGAGAATCCAATAATTGTCCGAGGATAACAAAGAATCACCAGGCAACACGGAAAAAACAATTGCTGATTCAACAATTCAATTGCTACAAACAGTGAGTGCAATGTTTCAACGCAGATTTTACAACAAGAAATGCTACTTTAACCACCCCCGTGGTTAAATTAGTTTACAATGTGGTTAAAGTAGCATTTTTTTGTTGTCAAATCTGCGTTGAAACATTGCACTCACTGTTTGTAGCAATTGAATTGTTGAATCAGCAATACTTTTTCCGTGAAGGATTGAATGAATAACAGTGGCGTGGCGTGAATAATCGATTATCGATATCTTGCCATTTGAAGCTATGGTAAAGAATCGATTACTAAGGTGTTCGCTGCGAACACCCTGATAATCGATCTTTTTTCATAGGTTTAAATGGCATAACGATCGATATATCGCAATTCACGCCACGTCACTGCCGGGAGAAAAATGCCGTATGAGCGTTCGAAAGTTCCCAAATTTCTTTCGATTAAATGTTTACTTTTGAGAAAATTTATGAATATTTTTCCATGAAATTTTCAGACACTTTAGATCAAATTACAAACAAAATTAACTGAGAAATTGGCAGAGAAATATTCAAAAATTTTCCTGAAAATTAGTGATTTGACAGAGGAAATTTGGCAACGCCCGAAGGCTCATACGGCGTTCTTCCTTAGCACGGCAGAATGTGGGACCGGATCTGTGAAAACGGAAGATCTATGCGGATCTGTCAGCTTCCGGGAATAAATTTTCCGCAACTTTGTGCAAAGACTTGAACCGCGTTTTTCTACAAGCAAGGAATATTTGTGTTTCGCAATTCATGACTTAAATCTCCAACAATTTTTGAGATTTTCCGGTCGAACTTGCGCCAAAATTTCCAGATTCTCTTCCTCTAGGCATTTGCAAAAAGTCGGAAAAAAAATTTCCCCGGGCAATTCAAACATCCAGAGTAAGATAAGAAAATTAAGGATTGTTTGTGTTTTTTGGTTTTAATTTTCCGCCGCTCAAATGAATATTTCGCATTTTTCAAAAATCTCAAAGCCTTGTGAAATCTCCAATCTGTTATAAATTTCTTTCATTTCTGGCTACCCTGTTCTCACTCTTCGTAGTGGTCCAAAAAAGAAAGAAAAACAGAAAGAAAAAAATCGAATTTACTTATGATATTTCGTCTGGACGACGACGGTAAAAAAGGAGGTAAAAGAGCCTGGTAAGTGATTTATGACTCACATTTCGGTAAAACAACTGGTACTCAGTGGCGTCGGCCCACTTCTGGAAGCGGTCGATGTAGAGCCTCAAAGGGTCCTCGTCGGGGATTTTCTTGAGGGTCGGCTTCAAAGGCACCAGCGGCGTCTTGGTGATCCTCATCATAATCCTCGGAATTTCACGACACTCTCATTCTCCCCTTATCACTTATCACAGACACACCGCACCGTTATCACTCTCGTAGCCTTATCACTGTCACACGACTTCACTGATGACGAGGCTCTTTCTGCCCCGGCTCAGCGGTAAAAAATTGAACTCATCCCAGAAATTTTAGGTCAAATTCACGAGCCGTCTTCCGACACTTTTAAAGGGAGCTTATTTGCACGCACTGAGACTCTTAAAGCCCGGATTAACGCAAACAATTAAAATCGGCCATGAAATTTCATGCTCGATAAACTCTTTTTGAACCGAGGAAATGTCACTGATTTGTTCAATTGTACATGATAATTTAGGGTTGAGATCATAAATAGCAGACTACTAGTGTCGTCGACTAAAAGTGTCGTCAGAACGACACTTTTGAAACAAAATTGAAAAAAAAAACAAATATTTTTAGTGGAGGGTTCCAAGTCTTCGTTAAAAAAGCGACGAAATAATATAAAATCTAAAAACTTTTGAGGGGGATGAGCTTTTTCTGAACGAGAAAATGTCAATGGATAGATAGATAGAATTTATTAATGCACACAGCCTATAATAAAAATCTCTGGCACAAGTCAAATTCACAATTTCTACAACAATTACAACAATTTAAACAAAATGATTTATACAGGTTCTTCGAAAAAATCATTTTGTTTATATTTTTGTATAAATTGTAAATTTTACTTATAGCAGAGATTTATACAATAGCTTCTTTTATTTCAATACCGACTTGTGGGTGGGATCTTATACCGTCTTTTAACTCTAGGAAAAACGAAATCGACAAATTTTTTTTTTGCAAAGGTATCAAGAAGACGATATCAGATAAGTGGGGGAAAAATAAAACGACCGAGAAATTTTGGATCAATGACCTATTTTTGAACCGAGAAACCTTCGACTTCGCAGTAAAATTGTATGCAATAATTATAATTTGTTGTAATATAATTGTACGTATTCTATTGCATGGCCTGCTTGTTGCTTCACATCGCGATCCTAGATACTTCGTTTTTGAGCTTGAACCAGCGACACGACGGAAGTGTCACGAGAAATTTGTAAAACGGACGGCCAATTTAACTTGGACCTCACGAATTATTTCGGGCACCAATTCGCAGGTGACAAGTCTGATGGAAAGCGGCGAGAGGAGGCAATTAAAGAGGTTTGCGCGGGGAAAACTCGCGGGAAGAAGAAGAAGAAAAGCACGGCGGAAAACGTAGAAATGCACGCACAAGGCTACGCTCACACGCGCTGCGCCACAATGACACGGACACGCAACAGCCGAAAGTGTCAGACGATCTGAGATCGACCGGGAGTCAATTAATAGGACCACAATCGCCCCACGAGAGGGGACAGCTCTCAACCCGAAAAAAATTGTCAAACCTCATCTGCTGTTTCCTGACGAGGCACGCTACTTAGGCATGGATGCGCCCCACGAGTATCCAGTATTCGCTGTTCAAAATTGAGGAATGAAATTCCGTGCCCGAGTCTACATAGCCCCCAAAAAAGTTTAAAACGGAATTCACAAATTTTTTTAAAAAAAACAAAAAAATCTCAAATCTCACTCGAGTAATAATTTAGATTGTCCGGACAAGGCGCAAAACACGTGACGCTCGCAAGAGCTTGCTCATACGCGGTTTCGAAATTATATGATACTGGCAATAATTACGTTTACAAAAATAAATGAATGAACAAGCTATTCCCGAAGCTTGCGTAATTTTCTCCACTTGATATTCATTCCTACCGCGGCTGGAAAAACGCGTGTGAAAAATGTACTTGTTTCATTTTCCCACAGCATGACTTGTCAGTTGTCCGCTGTTCCGCTGTGTTACCGAAGAAAGCCATAAGCGCAGTACAATATGAGCATCATAACACCTTGGAGCATGTGCCAACCGTGACTCGTGCAGAAATGCACTTACGTCTTTCTTTCGTAAAACTGCATGGTGTTCTCTTCGCGGTAACCGTAAAAGTTAAAGTGGGGGTTTAATTCCAACGAGGCTTTGACAGCCGAAGGATAAAAGTCCGGTTTTTTGTTCGGATGAACGAGCGTGGATCGCTTAAACTGTACTTAAGACTCGCTCATCCCATTCGATTCACTTTGAAACATCCATGTAAAACTTACTCGAACGCATTCAATTCGAAATGATACTCGGAAAAACGCAACACGCTTCCGCGAATGGTCGCTTAAACGGCTAGGTCCAACCGCTCAGGGTTGCATTCTACCATGCTAAGGAAAAACGCCATATGAGCCTTCAGGCGATGCCAAATTTCCCCTGGTAAATCGCTAATTTCCAGGACAATTTTTGAATATTTGTATACCAATTTCTCAGATAATTTTGCTTGCAATTTGATCTAAAATGTCTGGAAATTTCAAGGGAAAATATTCATAAATTTCCTCAAGAATAAAAATTTTATCGAAGGAAATTTGGAAACTCTCAAATGTTCATACGGTGTTCTTCCTTAGCTGCGGAAAACGTCGTATGAGCTTTCAGACGCTGTCATATTCCCTCCGGTACAAAGCGAATTTACTAAGAAAATGGTGCCTGTATAATCCTTTCAATTTTTCAGAAAATTTTGTTCGCAATTTGATCTAGAATATCTAGAGATATCGATGAAAAATATGCATAACTGTTCTAAAAAACACATGTTTTACCCGGGACAATTGGGCACCTCTTAAATGTTTATAAGGCGTTCTTCCTTAGGGCGACGCGACAGTGCAGAAATGCCAATGCATTGTTTTGAAGTGAAATTCGGGGGCGGAGTCTATAAAGCGCCCATGAATCCCGAGTGATAAGAATGCGAAGTGAGATTAGCACCATAAAAGTAGTAAATAAACGATAAGATGTTTATTTTTGAGAAAAGTTATGAATATTTTTCCTTGACATTTTCAGGAACCAGGTGAAACTGCAAACAAAATTATCTGCAAAATTGGAAGGAAAGTATTCATAAGTTCACCAGGAACTTCGTTTTTCATAAATTGAAATATGGCAACGCCTGGAGCTTCATACGGCGTTTTTCCTTAGCACGGCAGTATAGCCCGTAGCTTTTTTTTTTTTTCTTTTTTTTTTCTTTTTTTTTTCAGAGCAATGAAATTTACGTTTTCAAAGTGAAGACACACAAAACGAAGTAGGGCGCGGTGGAGTAATACACAAACACAAGAGCGGGTGAGCGGGGATTGGAATCTACGAGAGACGAAGCACAAGAGAACTAGGGAAAAGTCGTGTGTACTTGCATGGAAAATGGCGAGCGACTGGCGCTGGGCAGCTGAGGCGGAGCCGCGGAAAAACATAGCGCGGATTGCGTAACCGCGAAAAGCCCGTGCCCGGACTCGAGAGAAGTGTCCAGCCGGGAGCCGGGACGCTGTCCATCCGCGCGTCGTCGCGCCGGCCAAAAGCCAGGAAAAAAGGCGAAAAGAAAAGGAGGAAACGCGAAAAAAAGCGGAAAGCGCGCGCGTGCTTCGTGCTTTGGCTTGGCCGAGTCAAAGACCATCACTCGCCACTTGCACGGCTTCCTCTCGGCACAACAAACCCACCGCTGCGTTGACATATTTCGTCGGCGAAATTCATAGACAAAGCTATAGACAGAAAGGACGAAAAGGAAATTTCCTCCATGACCAATTTCATCCCATTTTATTCAGGCTCATCAGTGAAATTTATGGACAAAGCTATAGACAGAAAAGACAAAAGGGAAATTCCCTCCATGACCAATTTCATCCCATTTTGTTCAGGCTCATCAGTGAAATTCATGGAAAAAGCTATAGACAGAAAGGACGAAAGGGATATTCCCTCCATGACCAATTTCATCCCATTTTATTCAGGCTCATCAGTGAAATTCATGGACAAAGCTACAGACAGAAAAGACTAAAGGGAAATTTCCTCCATGACCAATTTCATCCTATTTTATTCAGGCTCATCAGTGAAATTCATGGACAAAGCTATAGACAGAAAAGGAGGGAAATTCCCTCCATGACCAATTTTATCCCATTTCATTCAGGCTCATCAGTGAAATTCATGGACAAAGCTATAGACAGAAAAGGAGGGAAATTCCCTCCATGACCAATTTCATCCCATTTTATTCAGGCTCATCAGTGAAATTCATGGACAAAGCTATAGACAGAAAAGACAAAAGGGATATTCCCTCCATATCCAAAATGTGCTCAGTTAAATTATGTTCCTAACCAAGCATGAAAACAAAACCCAAATTGAATCAGTGAGAACGAAAACGCACCAACTCGGTAACTCAAAAATGCTCAATTTTCATTAAAGAGAGTCATTTTTCATAAAGGTCATTGAAGTTAACGCATCTGTTCCAATTTGAACTTTTGAAGTGCCCTTAAGTACTTGTCTTCCGGCTAACCATCGATATCGGTACATACACAATCCTTACAAGGGATTGAAATGATTTGACACTACCAAAATTACAAACCATAAAATGAAAAATCCTTGAATTTTGGCAACTCTGAGGTGGGCGCGAACCTACATTAGATTTTTCAAAATTTGCACACTTTTTATTTGCTGTTTGACGTTTTTCCTGGTCTTATCATTGCAATCCTTTAAAGTTAACTGACGATTTTTATACTGAAGGTTCAAAGCCATTTTTATGAAACTATACTGAAGACCCATTAGTGGCGAATTATGTAAACTATACGGGGCTTTCTTGAGGAAAAGAACTGTTTAAGGAGCGCCTATGAATTCGGCTCAATAGGTGATTGTACTATGTACTAGTCAATGAATGCAAGAAAATCTCGTGAAAATTCGCTAATTTAAAGATACGTCTCGGAATAAAAAAGAAATACGAAAGATAGACTGTGTGTTTTCATACAAAGAACGAGAAGTCGTGGATGAAACCGTAACAAGGTTGCCAGATTCCATGATAAAATGTGGATATTTTCCATAGGTTTATAGGGGGGGAAATGTTCTCGGGGTTTCAGCACGATCTGGCAACAATGAGCTGTAAAACCGCGTATCTCATTGGCGGCGTTTCAAAATTTCCAACCCTATTATATTTTATCGAAAGGACACTAACCAACACTATTGCTTCAAATTTTTACAGAATATTCCTCATAGAAGCAGAGCTGAAAAATCATTGAGTTTTTCAATAAATGAGGATGAGTATTTTTTTGTGGACTATGAGGCCCCTTTACCAGTGGGCGCCTGGGCGGGCATATAAAGAGGCAACGCTTGGGTACAGCCAAGAGGCGAGGGTGCCAGAAGTATCCCATTTTATAAGACTAGCATTGGAGTTCATGCAGGTCGCCAAACCAAGATTCAAGTGCATTCCCATATTCCCAAGTCCAGTTTTTGCAAAATTTCAAAGATAATTGCACATGTGCTTAGATTTTCTTTAAAAAAAGAACAATTTCCGGCGTTGTATTGGAAGACAAAACA